CTCTTGGGGGTCAGTCTTTCCGTCGTAGGGCTTGATGAGCTGCCCTCGGTATTTTTCTGGGATCCGGGCCGCCAATACCCTTGGAGTAAATGGTGTCCGGGTCCGGAGCTGTATGGTGGGTTCCCCGGAGCCCTCAGCTGTCCTCTTCTGCATTTCCTCCATCCTGGCCAACATCGCCTCATACTTGAGGTCTGTATGAGGGGCAGAAGTGGTGGCGTGTGCTTTGGTGGCCTCCATCTCGTCAAGCCGGGGCTGGAGGGCCGCAATGATTTCATCCCGGGGGTCTTTCGGGAGGGCCTCCGCCCCCTGCGAATGGACGCGGGCCGAGTGGGCCTGGTTGATTTGGTGGCGGGCATCGTTGGCATGGAGAGGCGCCTTGCCTTTGTCCTCAGGGGGACGCCTTTCATTGGCCCTGGAGACGGACCCTCCACTTTCCTGAGGCCTCTGGAACGCCTTCCCCCCGAGGCGGTCTTGGACCCCTCGGCGGTCTTGCACCCCTCCGAGTCTCTCGAGGGCGGAGGTCCAGAGTTGTTCTTTGTTTACGTTGTGGCGGTCCCGGGACTGGACTTCCTGGGAGGCCGTATCTTGGGCCACGACCCCCTCGGAGTCCCCAATCCAGAGGACCGGGTTCCCGAGGGGGTGTGGATGAGGGGGAGGCATAATATTCTCCCCGACTTGAGGTTGGAGGGAAACAAAGTGCCGAAGGCACCCGGGTTCTGGGTGAGCGTCTGGATGAAGGTGGAGAGTGCCGATTGTACGTCGATTGTGATGACCGGAGGGCTAATTTGATTCTCGCTCCGGTCCTTCTTCTTGGCCTCGATGCCGAGGCGGGCATCAGGGGCATTCTGTTGAATCTGCTGGCGTAGGTCGACAGCCGTCTGGTCCAACCCGGTGATGATGCCGCCCCCGGGACCCCTGTTAGAGGCTTCGGGGACGTCGACTTCGCCGAGGGCCAGGTTCATGTCCTCGACATTCTTGGAGTTGGCACGAGTTGTTCTCACCATTTTAGCTAGGTGTTTTGTGTTTGGCGAGGGGGAGGGTTTCTTACTTGATTTTTCGACCTCTCAATGAGAGCACCAAATGATGGATAGTGTACCCGGGGGGTAGCTTATCCGAGGGGTTATTGCGGAGAATAACTAGAGAGAAGTCAGAGCAAGTAAGAGAGAGAAAATGTATTGAATATGTAAGTCAAGGCCTTTCAGCGTATTTGCTTTTGGGTTACAAATGGGGAAATGGGGTGCTATTTATAGTAGCAATAAATGCCAGATAGGGACACGTGTCAAGCATCCATTGGCCGAGGGGTCACCTCAACTGGTTGGCGCTGGCAATCGCATGTGGCCGCATTTAATGCGGCTGTTGGATGTGACATCGTACTTGGTACGGTGATCCATGCGCATGTGGAGCGGATATTATGTCGGAAAGGTGCCCTCGGCTGTGGATGATTAGCCGAGGGCTCTGAGTACCGGGGACCTCCTTAGTGCCGAGGGTTCTGGATGCCGAGGGCTACTGATTTTCGATGTTTTCTCCCAGTAACTTTGTTTTCCTGATTTGGTCCTCCTGTGAGAATTGGAGCCTTCGGCCAGGGGGCCAAAGGCACCCCTAGTGCGCATTGTGGGCCGCTTGGTACTCTGGGCGCTGTGATTTGGGCCTGTTGTGCTTCCTCGGCCTATTGGGCCTTTATTGGAGCAGTAGGAGTCTGTGGACCGGGGGTTCCCGGGCCTATACTCCATCAACGTATTTCCACCTGCAAAGTGCAAACTAATGGATATTGTGTTATTAGTACTTTTTCATTTGTTTATGATGTGCTGATGTGTTTGGTTATACATATTGGATGTCTATACTGTGTTTTTATACTGTGTTTCTGAGCAGGTGTGTTGCTGTGTATCATTGTTACTAATTTGTGATTTGTTTTTGAACATGTGTGTTCTGTAAGTCGCCAAACAGTGAACTGCGACAATCGGAATCAATTTAAGACGGAAAACGACATTTTTCGCCACCGGGGGCGCCGGACCGGCCCTGGTTGGCCCCAGACCGGCGTCGGTCTGAAACAGAACGTTTGGGTGTGTTTTGGCAAAGGGAAATTCGTCAAAACGTTTGGCGACTTATAAGTCACAAACGGTTTGGCGACTTTCCCCAACCCGGGTTAAGCCCAGCAGTATATTGGTAAATACTTTTAACCCAGCATTACTTCGGCAAATACTTATTTAAATCGCATTAATTCAGGAAAAAACTCTAAAAAATCATACCATGTATATATAGATTAAAAAAATCATTTCAAAAATCTATATAGTTAATTTAACGGAATTTTTAAAAATGAGGATAAAGGTGTGTAATTCCAAAACGGGGATACTAAGTATCATCCTAATGCCAGGTAATGTTAAAATATTGCAGTGTGACTTTATAATGATGATATCTTACTCCTATTAAGATGTGATATAGTACTAAATTTCGAACTCGAGTTTAATCTAAATTAATGACTTGAGTTTAATGAGTTTCAAACTCGAACACGAGTTAGATTTTGAGTTCGAATAGTTATTCAAACTGAGTTCAAGCACAATGATGTTCGACTTCTCAATATCGAACTTGAACCTATCAATCACTTACAATTTAAAGGATTACATTATATGGAGTATAAATCTTGAAATTTAAATGTTTTAGTGGGATTTAATAAATTTATTAATAATCATTAAAGATTTGAGTACTTATTGAATAGTTCAAACACGAATATATTAACGAGCATAGTCTAAACTTCTACATTCGAGCATGTTTATTTACCGAGTTTAATTTATTGAGTGTTCGAATCGAGGGCCGAACATCTATCGAGCCATACTCGAACTCTATTTTGTACTAGCTAAATATTCATGTCATCGTTTTAATATACCATATTAATGATTATTTCATATGTACAATATACGATCAATAACACGTTAAACTTTTATATACGTAGTATGAAATTATTCTCAAAATAGAACTGTCATATTTTATTTTCTAAATAGGAGCAATTAGTGTCAAGTTTAAAAAATAGTCATATTTGAAGGTTGGCCTGCCAAAACAAGCCAGTAGTTACTCATATTTCAGAAATAAGAACATGACGGTCCTATTTCGGAGTTACAAGACACTTATTTCTATTTAGGACAATTATCCTTTATTTATTATCTCATAATATACATTTCACATAATTACTCTTCTTTTTGTTATCAATTAGCCTAAACATTTTAGATTAGAATTTAGAACCATGAACATTTATTTATTATAATAATTCTACTTGCCTGGTAATGTTCCGTCTCGATTCAAGTTGGCCCAAAACGGCAAAATCAGCACAGTGACCGAGGGCTCAAGCAGTCAAGCATACCATTGATCCAAAAGGTGGAATCTCTCACCCCAGGAGCCCCCCCTCCCCCCGACCCGACAGGATGGTGGGAAGGTTAGTCACGGTGACTCAGTCAGCAAAATGGCAGTAGGCTCATACACCCGTGCGAACCACAGGCTCAGCCTTATTTCAGATTCTGTGACCTCCACCCGGTCGCTGCGGGGATTCGAACCTTGGTCCATTGATCCAAATCTCCCACCACTCGACCAACTGAGCTACCCGTGCGGGTAGAAGTCAAGCATACCAAGTTAGCAGCGTGGTATATTACTTTTTCTCCTTATGGGGGTTGTCACGGTTAGGGATGGACCGGTTCCAGGCCGAGCCAGGCTCCAGGCCGGTCCAAACCAGGCTTTTTTTGTTGAGGGAACCGGCCCGGAACCGGCTCGGGATTCTACCGGTTTCGGGCTGGGTCGAGCCGGATAGCTTTTTTGGGGGGGTTTTCTAATTAATTCCTACCCCCACCCTCCACACCCCACTCCTCCAAAACACCCGGCCCAACCCACCTACCACCCAAAGACCTCAAAAAAAAATGGCCCGGGTTGATACCAAAGAAACACCCAGCCCGAGCCTGCCCCCACAACACCCCTGGGTCGGGTCATAGGCCTGAGCCCGATCCCGCACAATGACGGGCTGAACCGGTTCCCGGGTCAGGCAGACCAGAACCGGTTCATCCCTAGTCACAGTTGTTAAAATCGTATTTTTGAATCGAATCGATAGATGTTTTTGAAAAAACGAATTGTAACATCGAATCGTAAATCATAAGATTTTATCAAACATATCCTAACAATTATAAAATAAATAAATATTAATATTAAGCTTCAAGTTAATGATATTATATCATTGATTCATTTCATTACATAAATATACCTACAAGGTCCAAAACATGATTTTTTTTAATGAAAGCTTGTCTCTATTCATATCAAAAGTTTCAGGATCATTACATCAATCAAAGGAAAAACAAATCTGAAAACTACTAAACTCTAACAACTACAACTGTAAACCCTATGATCAACCTTAGAAACGATCCAAAACATGACTTATAAACTATTTTAATAATGTAAATGTAGTGAATAATAACATTAGACATATGTAAAAAATAAAAATAATTAAATAAAAAATAAATCCATTACTTTTTTAAATATACTATTGATACTATTATTATTGTATTTATGTATCAAGTGGTTATACTTTTAATAAATTTGAACTATTTTCACTAAAAAAAACTTATAAATTTGAACCTTTTAATTATGTATCTAGATTTTAACGACCAATCGACCATGACTCACGGTGATTCCCTCAACTATCACCCTCAACTATAAATACGTTCTCTTGGAGACAAAAATGTTTCATGAGGCGTGTACAACAATTTTTTCTTTTTCTAGTACTCCTTCGGTCCCGCTAAATTTGCTTCACTCTCCTTTTTCAAGAAATTTTACTAAAATTGTCTCATACCAAATTTAATAAAATTTGTGCAACTCCAAATCGTTTCTACTATATTCTTATTACTTTATCAATTCATTATCAATCACATAACCCACTTTTTAAAAAAATAGTGACACTCCCTTGAGTCCCTTCCCAATGTTAGTGGGACAGAGGTAGTATTTATTACCAAAAAAGTTTTGCAATTAAGTAAAAACAGGAATTTGTAAAAACTACGTATTTAAAAACAATGGAAGAGGAAGTAATAATAAAATATACGTAGTACTACACTACTACGTATTCAAAAGTAAACTCTTCCCAACTATATTACACAAAATCTAAACCACAAAAAGCAGAAATTGCAAAATACGAACTAAGGAGAAGCAAAAATCCAAAAGAAACAAATACGAGTATATAATATACAAGGAGACGAGTCAAGATTGGGATTCACCAGCCAAGAACATCCATCAATGGGTGCCATGAACACCACAATGGCTGTTTCGGGTTTCCCAAACTCAAAACCCCCCGACATGTTGCCTTGGAACATTCCCAAATCTTCCAGAATTAGAAATATTGCTTCCATAAGCTGGAGGAATGTTGCCACCAGGGCAATCTCTAGACCAATGTCCAGCCTCACCACATTTAAAGCAGTTACCTGACGTGCCACCACTTCCCCCAGAAGCTGTGCGGCTGCTGAATCCGCCACCACCTCCATACCCCTGGACTTGCTGATCCCTTGTGAGTGTAGGACAGTTAGCAGCAGTATGGCCCGCACCACGGCAGCTGTTACAGTACAAAGCGGAAGTAGACTGCGTCATCCTAGACCCACCATATTGGTTTCCATATGGACTAGTTTGATCTGCTGACTGCACTCTGTTTGCCATACTGGCACCATAATTGATAACATTACTCCCACTTTCTCTAACCCCACTCCCAAATGTGGCATTATTTATCCCAACCGAGCTTGGAGCTGCATTTTCAGCATTTCGAGCTAGAGGGTTCAATTCATCCCCTGCTTCGAACTTATTGATCAAGTCAAGAACAAATTTGGTCTCTGTTAGGAGATTCACCTTCTCTACTTTGACTACAGTTGATTTCACACGCATCTCATCACTAAACATCTCCTCCTTCACCTTCAGTTTGAAAATATACTTTTTGAAAAGAACACTACGCATGATTTCTTGAAACCTATCATCGTCTTGCTCTTCGTGTTTTATGAAATACAAATCTTTTGCAGATACGCCCATCATCTCATCCCCAGTTTCCTGGAAAGCAGTGACCCAAGTCAATCCAGTGTGATCCTGAATTTGGAACTGAAGAATGTATCGATAATCACATTCGTCGATTGTCCGATCACATCTTTCACAAAGCCACTTTCCATCTCCGTTATTTACGACCTTTTTATTACACTGCCTGTCCCCAATCATAAGGGGGCATGCAGTGTAGCAAAAGTTTTCGGGTTTGATGAAACTAGGGGTGGCACTTATGGTAATCCAATCAGGCTTCTCAGAAGTCCCTAATCTTTCATCTTTTATCTGAGAGATGGTCTTTCTAACATCTGTCCGGCCAATGGATGATTCTCTAGAGATGGATATGGTAGGGGCATTCTTCCCCTCTCTGTCAAACCATTCCTTAAGCTTGTGAGCCTCTGGAAAATCAGGTTCTATGAGCAGTTGACTTGATGATATTGTCCCTAGAGCTTTCCCATTGAAATCATTGACTCTTCCTGCCTTCACTGCCAACACAGGGAACACACCAGAATCGCACATGTTCTGAAGTGATTGGCCTTCAGCATTGCAGAAATTTCCCCACATAGTCAATTCAACACTTCTGCCAGACATGTCTTTCAGTTGGAGGGATCTTTTTATTGTTTCAGTCCCATTTTTCCTCATTATAGTACTACTGGGACTAACAGAAGAGACTATGCCAATCACATCTAGAATGCTATTGTTGTCCAAGTCCTCTATATCACTTATGGGCCGAAAGAAAAACTGCTGCTGCGGAATTGATTTGTCATCTTCTAAACAAGGCTGTATAACCGAAGTGGTCTCAAGATGAATCTCATGATCATTACGTAGAGTGTTAAAAGGTTTGCTTCTCTCTGGAATTACTTTCACACTACCTTTTGAAATTAAATATACTTTATTAGGTTCAATCACGTGGTAAAATTGGTCAGCCACAGCATTAAAGCACGTCACTTTTATTTCCCCACCATCGGAATCAAGAAGATCAAAAGAGAACACCTTACCATCACCACGGGCATTATTGTAGTGTCTAAGTTCCCCTTTTGCAGTCACTCTAGCCTTAATTGTCCACCGATTTTGGTAAGGATTCAGAGCAGCAATAGGAATAACACGTGCAGGTGCTTCATTTTTAGCTATAGGTCCCCTGTTTGAATACATTGGTGGAGGCGGTTGCTGGTATGAAGGCTGAGGTGGGCGCAAGTAAGTGTTTGTGGGACCCCTGGCAATCCCAGCACCAGATTCTGGTTTGGAGTAAATGGACCCACTTGAGATATTATTATATCGACCTGAGTCCATGTGGCTGATAGTACCATTGCCAACATGTCGATTTGTCTCAAATGGTGCTTTTGGTTTACTATCAAAGCCAGTAGCACCACCAGGTGGACTAAAAGATTGAGGATTTCCGGACACATAACCGGACTGATAATTCATAGAAGGTTGAGCAGGTGTATGTTGCTGAACTTGTGCTGGGGGCCTTAACATCGAAGGGCTGTTACCGTTTGTCTTGTTCGGAAGTTGTATTGGCATCCCAATAGGATCACACTTGTCAAGAATGACATCCAGGTCAAGGATAATTATTATGCTGCAGTGAGATTCACATGTCAATGACAAGTACATAGCACAGAAATAACGGGTAAAATGTATTTCTTTTATTTAACAGGAAAATTAGATATTAAACACATAATAGCACAAGAGTGATTATTAAATTTCCATCTACCCCTATGCCCGAAAATCACAGATAAACGCATGAAAGATGAGCCCAACATAGCAGGCCAGGTGTATCCACCATCACCCTTGGCTTCCGTGACGGGCCATGCTTAGCCAATGATCATAATGATGTACACACCCGGATAGCTAGAGAGACACATACATGCTTGTTATTGGCCTGTAGATAGCTTGTTCCTCAAGATTCCATACTACCATTAATCCCCATCCAGATCGTGGAAATGGATCAAAATACTTCTGTATTATAGATTTTATAGCAAATTGATTGTATTTATCTCTCTAAATTTAGAGGCAAAAAACATGTTATAAATCCTTAATCATAGATTTGAAAGGTACGTATTCTAATTTATATTACACAAATTTTAGTTGTGACATAACTACTTCATGAACACTAAACTAACCAACACATTACTTAATAAAGAGACAGAGTAAAATATATAATATACAAATCACTATAAATTCTTATAATTCAGATGAACACAATTCCATCTGTCTCACTAAGTTTGGGACAAAGAGAAGTGACACACAAACTAAGAAAAAGTGGAATGATGAGGTTTATAATGTGTAAATGAACTTGCTTCTGAACAATATGGATATGGCTTCACGGAACGAATTTTGGGAATGACAAATGTGGAAAGTTGGGACAGACATAGTGAGTAGTGAGATATAGGAGTACATGAACATGTGAAGTTTAAAAGAAAAAAGTTAAGTGGCAAATATTCATATCTCACCTTCTCTATGTGAATCTTATAAAATGTGTCACACAAACAAACATTGATAAAGAAAAACACTTCAATTGTATTTCTTTAAATACATAATTCCATGAAAGGGCTTTATAAACCCATTCATATTATCATATATTGAATTGTGTAAAACACAAAACATAATGTACCAGTACAAAAGGACAAGAACTTTTATGATGTATAGTAAAGAAAAATTCCCAAATATATATTGTAATGAATATGGCAAGAAATTAACCAAGTAAATTATATTGAAAGGCGGAGACTATAAATTACATAAAAACCCTACAATGTTCAAATATAGCTTCAATAAGTGAATATTGAGAAGTGTGTTGTGCGCTATGTGTGAGTCTCTTCAAGTGATTTTAAGATAAAGTAATAAAAATCAGATCTTTTCCCGCATACCATTTTCTCACGTTAATGAAGACACCATAGTTTAGAGATATTCCCAGAAGCTATGATCAAAGATCGCCTATCGTCTAGAAAGACATGATGTAGTACAACTGATACTGGAGAATTTTTCAAATAAGGGAAAATTAAAGCCAAAATTTTGAGGGTAGAAGGAGACATTACGGGCGACTTTGAATGACATTACAGACGAACTGAGTCAATCGGATAATTGACCCCTTCTGGAGCATCTCGGACCGAACAAGATCGTTACGCTGCGTGGCCAACATGCCTTGCTGGAGGAAACCACCGTCCGATAGCATAATCCGGTAGCGGTCATTCCCGCTGCTCGGATTCTGGGAGTTCACGAGCCGTATATCCGAGACCTGCAGCACCGGCTTCAGGTCAGCAGTCTGCGCTTCGGGCGTGCTGATCAGTGCTATTGCGCCTTCGGTCAAGTTAACCGGCGGGTTCATCTTTCCTATAAAAAATTAAAACCTTTGAGGGGGGATTGAGGAAAAATGAACGGTTTTGTCGATGAAGAGGGCAAATAAATTATGAACCTGGAAAACCCTAATGGCCTGCGATGAGCGGGAAGGAGGAGTTTGAGCCTTTGAGGAAGTGCTGTAAAATTGAAAGTTTGTGTAGTAGGGGAGGGGAGTTGCGCAATCTCCTCAGCTTCTCTTCGAAGATTTGTGTAGTGTAACGTGAGCTGTGAATTAGAATATTTTTCTCTTAAAATTCGAATTTTAAGAGAAAAATATTTTAAATACTACAAACTTCTAACAGATGTGATCTAAGCACTCCAAAGACCGTCAAAACTTTCATATGTAATATTTATACTCCGAATTTTATATAAAAAATAATATTAGTACCATGAACTAATATTTATACTCCGAACTTTCATATATTTTTTTCTTTCACAATGTAAATTTAAGACACTTTAACTACATCACTATAAATGTTTAAGTATTTTAAATTATGTGCTTAACATCATAAGTTTACATTTTCGAATAAAAAAAATACATAGTAATGGTACTAACATAACTTTTTATGTAAAGTTCGGGTATATACATTACATATGTAAGTTTAGGGTGTTTACTTCACATTATTTCAAAGTTTGGAGAATTTAAATGGTTTTCCCCAAATTATAATAGTAGAAATAAAATCGGAATAAATTTTCCAATAGCTAGTCTTCCCTACCTTCCGATAACAGTTTCTAAGAGTAATTTGAAACATTAGAGGTACTTTTACGATTTAATTCAAATATTTTAATATCTATTTTTATTCTCTTCTTCAAATAAGCATAATCAATTTAGAAGTTGAGATGAAAAGACTTCTCTAAAATTGATTCTAATTCTATTTCTGATTTTAAAAAAATAAGCAGAAGCATAATCAATTACAAATACTCACCGAAGAGGAGATCTAACTAGATATTAGATGAAATGAAAAGTTAATGTTCAATAAATGAAAGAATAAGAATATTGATGCATTTTGATATTACAAAAATAAGATTTTTCAAATTGGAAAATAAAATAGATATTAGACAAATCGAAAAAAGGAATACCTAAAGAAATTTTGCAATTGTCGTGAACAAATACTCATTATTGGTATATTTTTCATATTGATTAAATGCTACTCTTTTCCTTATTTATTGATTTAATAGTTGACAAAAGCTTTGTCAACTCCATTTAAATAATCCCTCTGTGTCATTCAAAGCTTACTACTTTCTTTTATTGTGTGAGAATAATAAACAGGCTTAATCAGATTGGTAGCCTTGAGTGTATATTAATAGAGAAATAAGTTGCCTAATACAATTAGGATACTGAATAATAATTAATTCTAATTAATTCTACACTATTGCATTCCCTCAATCTATTCAGTAGGAACTACGCGTAGATTGTCTCGTAAAAAAAACTACTAAGGAGCCAAACTCTTGGAAGATGTCAGCCAGCTGAAACTTTATAGAAACATACTGCATTAGGAGATCACCATGAGTCTCACATTCCCGAACAAAGTGATAATCAATATCAATGCGCTTACTTCGAGCATGTTGGATGGGATTTGCAGATAAATATGATGCAGATACATTATCACATAGCAAACGAATAGGGCGATGAATGGGAAAGCCGAGCTCGAACAGAATAGACCAAATGTGTAAATATCATGAACCGTATATGCAATGGCTCTATACTCAACTTCAATGGAGGATCGGGAGACAGTAGGTTCTTTCTTGGACCACCAGGAGATCAAATTAGGACCAATAAAAACAGCATAGCCAGATGTGGAACGGCTATTATATTATCGAGACAACCGGCCCAATCAGCATCGGAGTATGCCAGAACCGAAAATGGGTGTGCTGAAGGCCGTAGATGTAAACCATGCGTAGAGTGCCCTGTAGGTACCTGAAAATTCTCTTAACAGCCAACAAATGTGAAGTCCGAGGAGCATGCATAAATTGAGACACCAAGTAAATAACATATGTAATTATCAAGTCTAGTCATAGTTAAATACTGCAATGCACCTACAATGTTACGATACTAAGTAGGATCAGCAAGTAACTCACCATCAGTGAGAACCAATTTAAGAGTATGGAGATGAAAACGGGTGAGAAGATCTAACACATATTTGGCCTGAGATAAAAATAAATCAGAGGAATTTCGCACAGCCTGAACCCCCAAGAAAAAAAAAGATCCGCTAAATCTTTCATAGAAAAATATTTCCCTAAGAGAGAGATAAAATTACTAATAAGAGTAGAGAAATTTCGAGTAACAATGATGACATCCACATATAAGAGCAAATAAATGATACGCGTAGAGTGATGAAAAATAAACAGAGAATTATCAGCACGACTACACACAAAACCATGAGATAAAAGAAAACTACTTAACGATGAAACCATGCCCGGTGAGCCTGTTTGAGACCATAGATGGCCTTGGGCAAGCGACAAATATGATTAGAAAATTGTGGATGAACAAACCCGGGTGGTTGACGCATGTAAACTTTCTTTGTGAGATGACCATGAAGAAAAGCATTTTTGACATCCAACTGATGAATAGGGCAATTATATGAAATAGCTAATGTAAGAACAATGTGAACACTGGTGGATTTAACAACAGGATTAAAGGTTTCGGAAAATCCACCCCAACTTGCTGTTTAAACCCTTGGGCAACCAGATGTTCTATAGAGCCATTAGATAGATATTTAGTTTTATAAATCCATTTAGATCCAACTTCATTTTTGCTAGAGTCAAACGGCACCAATTCCCATATTTTATTAGTGATAAGTGCATTAAATTCCTCAGCTATTGCAGCTCTCCATTTAAGATCTTTACTAGCCACAGAAAAACAAGTCGAATCAGGAACCAAACCCTCATATTTAAATTAAAAATTGTTTTTTGGTTTAAAAAGTCCTGATTTAGACCGTGTATGCATGAGATGAATATTTTGAGTCAAAGAATTACCGGAGACCTGAACATCACCTACCTCTTCACTGGCAGAGGGCGAGGATCCCGTGGAGGCAGAGCTCTCCGGCGAGCCTACAGCCGGCGTAACACTGTCAGGCGTAGGGAAGGCACTGGAGTACAGTATTGCACCGACGTAGCAGGCTGTTGGACCGAGGTGTATGCTGCCGCCGGGGAGTGTGTTAACAGCGGTGATGAACATGTTTCCAATGAAAAATCCCTCAGGGACAGCGGTTGAGCAATAGCAAAGGACGGCAATGAGGAGGTCCTAGAAAAAGACAGAAGACATGGCTGCAAGGTTGGAGATTCGGTAGGACTATGAGACACTAACTGTCACGTTACGGACCTACCCGGACACGTCAACAACCCGCCGTACAGTACGAATAGTCAACCGCAGTCCAACACATCCATACTATACAAGGCGTCTTGAATACCATTCACACATAGTGCATCCATAAACAAACATAATGTAAAACATTCATTTAAAACAGCGGAAGCATTTAATACAAGTGTTCAAGCCACACTTGGCATAATTAGGCATACAAGCCCCAAAATAATTATTCAGAAAATAATATCCATGAGCATTAACATAAGCGTTTTTAAAACAGAACGGGTGAAGCACGAACCACGTCTTCTTCCCTTGATCTTCCCGGAGCAACGGGCGATGGTAGCAGCTCAACTCCTACCTGAAACTGTGAGGTGGCCTCGCCCGTGAAGGGGAGGTCAGTACTTGGAAGCAATTGACAAGTACAATGACAACTATACCGAGTATAATCAACGCTTTAATTTCTAAGACCCTCAAAATAGGGTGATATCATAATATAAATAACAATTTATATTTCCCACTTATTATCTCTATAATAAGCAAATTCATTTATTTGTCGGCACACGGCCCTTCTCATATATTCTTTTGCATTTATCATTTGTACAACCCAACCTGTGGGTCTTATTATTTCTACGGGATTTGCTATCGCTGTCCGAGACATCACGAGGCCCTCGGTTCGGACTTCAACATCCCGCCCCTGGACTCATATCCATCATCTCGTAGGAAGGTAAGGCCTTTCGGGGTCCTATCTTATGTGTTACCGCTAATGGAGCCTAGTTAGGTCTCCGATTCGGATTCCACCCTAACCCGTGATCATGATGAAAGTCAATGCTATCCAACCCCGCTCTCTAGAGTTGGGAAGGGCCATGGTCCTTACTTATTACCATAATTTAACCAGCTATCCCCAAGGACTACCGAACACACTCGTAGGCCAATCTTATATCTAGGATCAATTTATTATTCACTTTATCTTGGGCATCCCTTACGGCCTACCCCTAGTATAACTTAAAGTTCATACTATCCACGTTAAAGTATCTCTTAAGACTACTTAAGTTTAACAATTCACAATCCAACTTTAGGATCAATTCTAACATAATTATTTATCCAATTCCCCGTCTAGTATCTTAATACTAGTCGGATAAATTCTATCAATCCAAGTTCTAAACTCATAGTCATATAGACTATTCCAAACTGATTTTCCATTGAAAATATCATTTATATCGATATACAAAATATCACTTTTAATCACTCATATATTCTTATATGAAGTAAAATGCATATTTCAACATAAGTTTCATAGTTAATTCCATTTTCAAGTCAACATATTCACAAAACATGATCATACACAATTTACTCTTAAATTTGTATATCATGCTCCTTTTCCTTATAGACAATAGTTTTCTAATTCTTAGGCATTATTAATCATTAATAATCCATAAGCAACATAGTCAGTCATCCTCACCTTATATCATGAAATTAACTCACTAATTATAAGCAACATAGTCAGTCATCCTCACCTTATGATGTGCTTAGCTAGCTGCCTTTGCGAAGCCCTTCGGTTATCTCCCATTCCGGACCGATCAAGAACGAAAAATCTGGACAGAATGTAAAAGCCGGACGGCTTCCGTGAAAGGTGGGCGGCTTTCAGGCCTGCAGCTCGAAAACATTCCCCAACAATGGCGGTTTTCCGGCAGTTTCGACTCCTATCGATTCTACAACTCTTCTAAGTTAAATACCACCATTTCATATCAATATTCTACACTTTTAAACGTGTAGAACATCATGTTTAATCCACCATATGATTTATTACAAATCATACACAATAAAACTAGTTAAAGAGGATAGATGAGTTATTACCTTCCTTCTAGCTAGTTTTCTCCTAGGATTTCCTTCTTCCTAGCTTTCTCCAA